CCTTAATCCATGCACAGCCTTGTTGAAATGAAACTACTACTCTGATCGTCTCGTATTTTCAGACTGCACGGTAATTAAGAAAGAGTGGTCTGAAGAGAAAAATCGTGTCTTAATGATTTACTATCTTATGTTTTAGGATTATGTATTAGAGCCAATTACTCAAAATGAGGAAATCTGGCCTAAAGCTATTGAAAGAAAAAGGCAAAATTATAGATCAGCTACCTTCTTAAAGACAGCTTCCTATATGAGTACAGCTATGTATTTAGAGTATTGACAATTAAAGGGTTACAACTCTCAGAAACCAGGGGTTTCATGTGGACAGAGTTTCATTAGGGAAGCAGGAGGTCGGTGTCACACCTCTGCAACTGGTATTGCTTTTTCCTGTGATTTTGGATGTCTTTTCTGCCAGGGTACCTCAACACAACCATTGCAATTGTTTTAAATGAGGAGTGTGAGACCCATAACCATTAAGAGACAGGAAAACAAATTTTAAAGGAAAGCTTAGGTGCTGCCATAGACGCGATGATGACAACGTTTTGATCAGTATTGTGGATTTTTTGCTCACATGATCATGCATTACATTTTGAATATAAAGCCATCTTGATATTTTTCTAGTAGTAATTAAAATATACGTACTGGGAGATGCAATGCTTCATGTTTAGTCTGTTCCATTGCTTAATATACCAGTAATCAGATATTCTGATGAGTAATGCCTCAGCTACTAAATCAGCTGGAGACTTTAATCTTAGTTTCTGAACATACCTGATAAATAAACTGTTGTAGGAATTCATGTGCACTGAATTAAAGAAGGAAGTTTTAAGGCATATTGCATTTATCCAAAATGAACAGGAAGGGAAAGAACAACTTTTAAAAATCAAATTGGTGGCCAATGACAATTCTATTTCTGGTGCTTGCAGACACATTTATAGACTACTCCAATTTATGTCATTTGAACCAGTTAACAAGATTTTTTGATCAATATTTTTCTGTACTATTTTATTACTAATTTGTAGGGTCTTTCTTTCCTTCAAAATCACCGAGATATGCACTTTTTTTTTTTGCATTATTTTTGAGAAAAGTAAAATCTCACCATTATTTTTATTTTGAATAATTATATTTTTCTTTGTTGATAAAGAATAATTTTTTCCCACTGAAACTGAGCCTGAATGGCATAGCTATTTACTTTAGCAAAGACCTTGATGTGTATTAATAAAACGTGGGTCTCAAGTATGAGACAGAAGTTACACTGCTTAGTCCTGTGTCTCAAAGAGTGCTTAAATATCACAAGCATCTCCCTTTCTTTTCCCCTTCGCTCCTGTATGAAAGTGAGACTATGTGACTTTTTAAATACACTACAACCTCACTTTGCTGGAAGAAGACTCCTTTTATTTTTTTTTCTTCCAGTTAAGAGGATCAGAATGATGTATCTTTTTGCTGACAAGTGAATATATATTTAGTCAGTGTCTGAAAAAAAATATCTGTAGTTGATTCTTGAATATGTTCCTAGAGCATGCACAGTTAGAAGCCAATTATGCATACATTTTTAAGATCCATATGGGAAATCAAAGATTCAGGCCCAGAGCCCTAGATATTTCTGTAATTGGTAATTTTGCTTTGTCCTCCTATTAGTACCATGGCTACTCATTTGTTACTATGTTCCTTACAAACATAGTTAAACTTCCGGATTTCAGAAGGAAAGGTGACCATCTAAGTTTACATTTAACTGTTTCTAATTTTTAATTAAGAAGCTTCCTACTTTTTACCGTACTAAAAGTTGACTCTCCAAAAGCAGTACTAAGGATGAAAAAAAAAAGAGTTAACAAAAAGATTTAAATCATTATCTTTTAAAATTCAACCATGAAGCTCTCCTTTGCACTGAGGATTTCTTACTGCAAGGATACACAATGGACATGTTAGGGGACCGCTTGACCTTTTAAAAAAAAATATGTCTGCAGCATATTCTTCTAGTAAACTTCCACCAAAACAAACCTATTAAAGTATAAAAGAGCTCAGAGGAAACTTCTGAAGCTGCACAGACACACTCAGTGCATCTTGGGGAGGAAAGGAAAAAAAAGTAGAAGAGGAAGAATAACTGGACTGTTCGTGAATTTACTGATGAAGCCACACACTGTAATAATTCCATATAACATTTACTCTTCTTGTTTTGAAAGTGGAACTTGGCACACCGTATTTTAGAAAAATTAGGAATATTAAATGTAGTTTAGAAACATTTTTATAATTGAAAGAACACCGACAAGTTCATCGTAATTTCAATTCGGCTATTAAGATACTTGTTTTTCTGAAGTAGGGGTTTGGGAATTTTTTTAAGGTACAATTTTAGAAAATGTTTAGCTACCTAATAGCTAAAAATTGCAAAGATTATATGAACTAAATTTCTATAAGCAATGTGTCTAGATGCAAAAGTATCCTAACCACTTTGCAGTGAAACAAATAGAGATTAAAATTACAACAACTCATGCAAAAGTAAAGCATCCAAAAATCAAGAAGAGTTAATCATTAGGTACTAAAGGCCTTACAAAATTTATATATATATATAAGTTGTATGTTTTAAACCTGTTTTTAAAAGGTCTAGTTCCAGTTGTCCTCGTCAGGTCAAAAAGAAAAGCGGTCCACAGTTCAGGGGCCAGAAGCAGAGACATGGACTGTACCCCTCCTGCTCCTGCAAAATCCAGGCTCCAAAAGCCCCATCCCTGCAGACCCCGGCGGGTGGGATGGCACACAAAGAGGCTCTGAAAGGTATCTGGGACCATGCAATGCATCAAGGGCGTTTGACTGATTCTACTGTTGTTATCAAGTACCCAATGGAATTGCTTATAGTGAATTTGGCAATAATGCCCTATAGAAACAGCACTTTGAACTTATATAGTACCTTTGATCCAGGGATCTAAAAGGAGGGGTTTGTCAGTATTACTATTCCCATTTTACAGAGGGTGAAACCGAGGCAGAGCAGATTTTCTCAAGGTTGTAGAAGAAGGCAGCTGAGAAAGGAAGGTGGACAAAGAAATTAACTCTTCCCCCCACACCCTTTTCTCTTTTTTATTGCTCAAGACAATCTTCAGGAATACTTTCTCTGGCTCTTATCTTAAATTGGAATAAAGTTTCTGGTGTCAAGAACAAGGTCCTTCTGCTTATAGCTGCAAGAAATAACTCCCCAGGAAGGTGATGAACACTCACAGTCCACTGGCCTGATCTGGCACAATTTTCTTTGCCACCTCTTGCCAACAGCTGCCCTCATTCTTGCCCCTCTTTTGACCAGTATTGTCAAAATGGGCAACTCCTAAGAGAAAAGAGGAAAGCTGCATTTCTCAACTCTCCAACTTCAGCGTTGTCCAGGTAGCATTTCTTTTCCTTCTTTTCCTCCAACCAGAGGTTGCCCACAGCAGAGGGAGGCTGGTGGGTGAATGACTGCTGGTGGGTGAATGACTGCCCTGCAGTGTCAGAGGTAGTGGGGAGGAAAATAGGATTTTTTTTTTAATTACCACTGTCATATGAGTAGTGACAGCTAACCCACCCTTGGAACCCCTCTCCTGCACTTGCCCCGCAGAATTGTGTCCCCCCTTGTCACCCAAGCCAGTTCCACCTTGTCTCTTTTTTGCAGCAAGCCTTATATTACCCTCCCAACAAACCCTCAGGAGAAATCCCTTGTTTTAAAAAGCTCCAAATTCAAAAGAAAGCAGCTTACGTGAAAATCAAGCAGCACTGTGAAAGAAGTTCCTTGAGTCTAACACTTCATCTGACTGAATAATCAACAGGAAAACCCTAAATCTTTAATTGCAACTTTCTAAGTAGAAAACTAAACTTAGAACCTGTTTAAAACAAGATTATCAGTGGAAAAAAACAGGCATAAAGGTAGCCCCTCTGAACCGCGCATCTCCCTGCTGCAAGAGCTGCAGAAACTAGAGGCTGGTGGGGGACAGGAGGCTGCAAGAAGCAAAACAAGAATTCAATCTCCCACATCAGCCCGTGCCAAAGCAAATTTATACGGCGGGAGGGAGCAAAATAATATCCATCTTTCGCTCTGGCAACGGATGTTTTCCATAACCACGTTGTGTATACGGTCCTTGTTTCATGTGGAGGGAGGTGTGAATGTATTTTTCCCTCCTGGTATGTTAAACACAGACTTTGCCATTGCAAGACGGTGCACGCAAAAAGTCTGTAAAACATTCTGCTGTTCAAGCCCGAGCACGCCGAGAAGAGGCCGCCGCGGACGTGCCTTCACACGCCGCGAAAAAACCTTGTGCAATTCGTATTTTCCTGTTTTTTACGAATCGCTCAAGAAGCGAGGGGAAGGCGAGGACGAGGAGGTGTTGGAGCGGGGGGCGGCGGGGGGACGAGGGAAGTTCTCTTCTCCCACTAAAAAAAAAAAAAATTGCATAACGAGATACTTTCTTTGGCAACTGCTTCCTGACAAATATTTACAAGGGCAGAGCGGGAGCGCGTTTCCGCCGACGTGAGCGGGGCCCGCCGCCTCCTTCCCGGGCTGCCCCGGGCTCGGGGATGAGCGGCGGGCCGGGCTCGGCCGCTGCCCCGTCTCAGCTCCGGGCCCGATTTTCCGCAGCAGCCCCCGAGTCTCCCGCACTTGGCGACGCGGGCGTCTGGAAAGACGGAGTTTCGCTACAGTTGGTGCCGTGCATTAAAAAAAAAAAAAACCAAAAAAAAAACAAACCAAAAACCAAAAACTAAAAACCCCAGATAACTAAACTCCTAATTAAACGGGGAGGTGGAAGGGAGTAGGAGAGAGAGAGAGCCACACTCGCCTCTTGCCCCCCGCCCCCCCGCTTCCCTTCCCAAAGCGGGACCCCGGGCTGATCCCTCAGTCGCATCCCCTCCCCCACCGCCTCTACACCCCTCAGGGCAGCAGCAACTTCGCTCCCAAGCCGGCAACTCTGATCCTTCCTTCCCACCTCCGGAATAAGGCGTCTCCGCCGCGCTCCCCCTGCCCCAGCCAGCCCAGCCCAGCCCGGCCCAGCGCCGCCTGGCCCGGCCTTCCCCCTCTCGTGCCGCTTCCCCGCTCCCTGTCTCCCTCCGCCCTGGGAGCCGGGCACTATTTCTCCTCCTCCCTCTGCCTGCCCTGAGCGCCGGGCGCCTATGGAATGCCGCGCGCGGGGCCCGGCCGCGGCGGCAGGATACACAGCCGGGCCCGGCGCTCGCTATAAGAACCTCCTTGTGAGCGACGCCATTTTAAGCCTCTCGCTCGGTTCGGCGCTGGGAGCAGCGGCGGCGGCGCTCGGGGGACAGAAACACCGCCGCCCCGTACGGTCGCCACCTGGGAGCCAGCGGCGGGGGCACCGCCGTGAGCAAGGAGGCGGTAGGCGGGGGGACGAGGAAGGAAAGACGGACCGGACCGGGATCGCCCGGGCAGCAGCAGCCGGAGCCCGGGGGGGACCCTGCGCTCTCCCTTCCTCCAACGTTAGTGCCGCTTTCTCCGGCGGGAACTTGGGGCAAACCCGGGCCGGGCACCCCGGCGGCCGTGAGGGGGGTCCAGGGTGTGCCTGGCGGGAAGGACGGGGCTGGGGGAGGGGGGGAGCGGGGGTGGGAGAGAGGTGGGGGGGCAGGAAAGGAAGAGAGAGGGCTCTTGTTTTCGGGAGGTCCGGACAGCTGCGTGGCTGCAGGAGCGGCAGCTGCAGCTCCCGAGGTGTCTCTTGGGAAGCTCGTCCTGGGGCGAGGGGGTGGCTGCTCTGGTCTGCGGGAAAAGGCGAGTCCATGCGCCCGGCTCCGCTCTCGTTTGCGGCAGTACTTTAATGACCCTTTTTTATTATTATTTTCGATATTCTTTCACCTCCCTTTTTAGGGGAGTACTAACTCGCCGGTGGGCTGCAGATCCCCTTTGGCGATAGGAGGGGGAAGAGAGCAGGGTACGGGTTTATTTGTACGGAATATAATTAATCACGGTCACTGCAGTCAGCGGGAGATTACTAATCTGTTGCCTTGTGGGGTTTCGCTTTTAGTGGCATTGCATATTTGCTGGAGAGGCTGTGCTGCTGCTTCTGGGTGTCACCGAAATGAAGCTTCCCCGGAGCTAGGAGCGATTAAATTAAGTTTTTTTACACCCACCTTAAGCAGAGTGTTGTAGGGAACGGCTCGGGCTGTGGGCGGTGTGGGGAAGCGCCCGCTGCTTCCCGTGGCCGGCTGGGGGGAGCACGGCGGCTCCAGCCTCCCGGAGTGCCGCGTTCCTGAGGTGTGGGCATCAACTCGAGGTTACTCCCAGAACTATCCAGGGCGCTTACTCTAGGAAGAGTGTTTCCCGGTGTGTTGTTTTGTGGTTTGTTGTTTGGTTTAGTTTGTTTTCGTTTATTTGGGTTTTTTTTTTAAACAAAGCTTAGTTCATCTCTATTGTGCATGATTAGGTGCTCCTAAAGCAGCAAGTTTTCTTAAATTTAGCAAAACCTTGCATTTTTTTCCCTAGTTAAAACTCGATGTAGGACGTTGGGCCGTTTCTTTTTGTGGCTCTTTCCAAAAACCTTCTCTGAAAATTAGCCTAACTGGAAAGAAAGGACAGACTGTATGAAGGTACCAGGGGCAACTTACTTGTGACTTTAGGAATAGCAGTGTTGATCTTTGTAATCAGCTACTTCTTGATCTCGTTCTCACGGAGCAGCCATTGTTCTGACACTCTGTATATTCCAGACATCTGTGGTCCTCCCATCCCCCAAAGTATGCAAGTGGTGAATGGAAAGAGGCTGGGCTGGTATGCTGAGGTCGACGGACGGAAATCAAGGAGGGGTTTTAGTAAAACAGGATCTTTATGGGCTGAGGCTACGGTAAAGGCGAAGACGAGACGAGAAAACTAGCTGAAAGAGTGTCGAGGTTTTCTTGATTTAAGTTCATAGTAACTTCCTAGTTACAATTTTGCTTCTGAATGACAAAAAAGTACTACTGCAAGGCTCCAAAAAAAAAAAAAAAAAGCCTAAGCGGCAAAACTTACTGGTGTGTATTGGCCCGAGTTACAATGTGAGTTTCAGTACCTAACAGTCCAGGAACCTAATGTTGATCTTGCACTTTTGATAAAAAGGTGCTGACAGCTGCAGGTATGTGACTGCTGTGTCGTTTGTCTAATGGCTGGTACTGTTGCAAATGAGGCTGCTTAGGCATTCAGGCAAGAGTTTGAGGCTCTCTAAATTCAGCTGTACAGTTCAAAATTAACACTGAGTGTCTCATTGTTCTGGGATTGTTGTAAAGAAATGTTATATTTTCTCATTTGTTAGTTTAGATATTTTTATTTAGGTGTAAACTGATATCCAGGGGAATGTTCACTTTGGTCTGTATGGCTGATCATTTCACAAGGTCTAGGAGAGAAAGAAGTAAAAACACCATGTTGGAAAGGACAGTGCCATGCACGATAGCTTCTAGGAGCAAGGATTTAATACAAAGTAAAGCTTGATTGGAAAAATCAGTTCTTCAAATGCTGTGTTTCAGCCTTATCAACCCAAGCTTCCTTTTTCTTGCCTAAGCTATAAATAGAGTGGGCTCTTTGCGTGGTGTATGTCTACTCTGGACACCAGCATTTTGCTCTGACTGTGGTGTGTCAGTAAGTGGCTTACCAAACCTTGGCTGTGAAACCTGGTTGCCCTTCAGACATAACGATTTTTTTCTGAAGCATCTGTCCATTTATAGTGACTCTACATCTGAATTAGCATCCTGAAATACCGTGTTCTGAAGAGTTAGACTTGAGCTTTTGGGGATGTTAAGACAAGAGGTTAGTACTAGTGGTGTTCTGATTTTGCAGTGTTTTCAGGGGTGGAAAGGGAAGTGGAAAGAATTGAGCCAGAAATATGGCTGCTGGTGGCTTCTGTCTCAGCTGAAGTCTGGATGTGCTGTCTGAAACTCCTGGATAAGGATGTTTCTGCAGAGTATTGTCTAATAGGCAGACTAGTGTGCAAATACAGCAGTAATCAAAATCACTTACTTTAATTCATAGTTGAACTGGTAATGCTGGGGTTGTGGTTATCATGCACTTGCCTGCAGCAAAACTTGTTCTGTGACTGTGGTAGCCTGCATACCATGGCAGGAAAATCAGGACTGACCTTACTTATCTTGAACATCATACTTCACAAAGCGTGATAAAACCTGTGAGAAACTGTGCAGGCAGCCGTGACTGGCTCCTGTGTCCTCAGAATGTGCACTTGCAAACTCTGAGCCAGTGCCTTTTGCTGGCTGACTGGGTGGGAGCCTAGAAATGGTAAACTTGGCAGTAAGTATTGTGTGTGATTCTTCTTGTCTCTTGAGATAAAATTATTTTCCTGGAAGGGCAATATTTCTGATTTTCCAGTTACCACCAATTGAATTGGCTAGACTTGCCAACATAAGGCAGCCTGACAGTGGTTAACTCTTTCTGTCCATTTCTGGCACTTGGTTCCAAGGTAGAACTTGCTGTAGCCTGTGATCAGGCTTTAGCCCGGGAGGGTAATGTGTTAAACTGTGCTGGTACTGTGTAGCCTGTGCTGCCTCTTATGAGAAGAAAGTCAGAAAAGTTGTTTCAGTTTTTGGGGTTCTGTGCTTTTCTTTTTTCACTGGCAGGTAACTTCAAGTGCAAGGGAGAGAACTAATGGAAGTGTAATTCTGGCATTTTTGTCTGTGTGGAACACCAAGTAGATGAGGTGAGCAAGTGAGACATACCTGACCTCCTGAGTCTATTTACTCTGATGTGAAAGCAAATTCATCCTGTGCTTTCGTTGCCTTGGGAAGTTTGGGTGCACACATTACTTTACAGCAGACCTTTTTGTTCATGTTCCAAGGTGACTCTAGGAAACAGTGTACAGTGGCTGGATCGGTATTGCAGAAGTGAAGTGCTTGCTCTGTTACTTAATACTAAATTAACTCTGGAGCCTTGTTTGAGGACTGACGTAGAAGGGTGAAAGAGTTAATCTCATGTTCTGTGTTGCTGCATTTAATAACCAGTATGAGGTAGCTGGATTTTGCTGGAGTTGGCAAATGCACAGTGTGCACTGTACATGTATTTGCTGGAACCAGCATTTCTGGGCTGTCTTACTGCACTAAATAGACGTGTATAAATTGGAGAAGTTTGCCAACTCTGTAGCAACTGTAGCAAGTAGTTCTGTATTGTCCTGGCAACAATTCAGGTGCCCTCCAGTGGCCAGAAATCTTAACATCCTGAAGGTGCTGCTAAATGCAGCTCCTTTATCAGTTCGCCTTAATTAAGAGTGAGTTGAAGAAACATCTTTTAGTGTCAGACTTCATTAGCATGTTTGTTGTTTAAACAGTCCTTTTTGGAGTGTTGGTGTGCCTTATTGTAAATATAGTTATTCTGACAGACGAGCAACGACAGCCACTTTCAGATTCATAAGTACTTTGTCAGTGTGATTATGACTAATCACTCTGTTTTTTTAAACTGTAGAGATTAATGTTTAACATCCAAGTTCAGGGCTGACTGTGTGGTTGCAGTCTAAGAGGAAACTGGATTGTGGGTAGATACTTCCTCGTTTGGAAGAGAGATGGTTTGCTGAGTTGTTCCCATGTAGGTGTGGAAGTGAGTGTTTCAAGTTATGCACAAACAGGCCAGAAAGGTATTTCTGTAACAGTGTCTGTTGTGAGTGAAGCACATGATTGTGTTAAATGCCTGCAGAACCATTGTCTTCTTGATACACAAAACCATGTGGGCAGGGAAACTTGAGGGCTGGCAGTGGTTTTGTCCCTGAACTTTGAGTGTTAAATGAAATGTGGTATAATACTTGTCTGAATTATCATATGTTGCCTCTAAATGATCACAATGGCAACTTTTTTTTTTTTTTTTTTGTATGTGACTAGACTAAAGAATAAATTTTGATCCTGTCTACTGCCAGCTCTCTGCTACTGTCACGTTACTCAGTGATAAGTGCGGGTACATGGACCACAAGCTGTAAACCACTGCATGTTTATTACTTGAGTCCTGCTGGCAGACTAACCTTGGATACAAACACTGGCTCATCCCTAACCGAGGAAGATGGGAGTATGCATAATGTACATATCTGTGTCTTGCAAATAAAAGATGGGAGCTCTCTAGGCTGTGATAATAAAACTCCTCTCAATGTTTTGACCAGCCATGAGGATACTCAAACTTGGTGAATGCTGCACAAAGTCCTAGTGGAAGTGTGTGCCAGTGACCCAAAGATCTCAAATCCATTGCTGAACAGAAGTGATTAGTAACTGTTTTGAGGTCATTTGTTTGTGGTGCTGGTACTTAGTTGGTCAAAATAATTACGACATGATGAGCGTATTTGGGTTGATAATCTTGTTATGACTTAATGCAAGTTCATAAACTTGAAACTGTCATAGCAGTCCTCTAATACTGAGCTGCAAACTGCTGTCAGGGGACTGATATGTACATTATGTGAGGAAGTTCATTACTTTCATTCTCAAGTTGGATGTGTAACACCAGAGTTGTATTTGAAGCAGTTTTCACATCATAACAT